TGCTCTTAAAAGTTGTATTCTAAGTCCCCAACTTATATATATCTGCCTCGTTTTTCACACGCATGTTTCCTAAACTGTTAAACGATACGTTTTATTAAAAAGTTTTTATAGAAAAGTTGCTTTAAAAGATTATATCAAAATATTGCATGATCCAAATAAATCATTAGCAGGCGCCCCACATGTATTGCATATACTCGAATTTGCCATGTTTAGTCAAGCTCGGACTTCAGCAAGCCTCGTGCAAAGACCCTGATTTTTTTGGTACCTTTAACTTCCGCAGTCTTTCATTCTCTCTTCATTAAGTCCACTTTAGAGCTGCCTGGTCTATCATTTAGCCAATACTCTCTACTCCTTTTTATGTGCACCGACATTCTATAAAGCAGAGAGCACTGAAAAAACTCCATTTCTTTCATGAAACTAAGCCCGAGTATCTTGTTGTTTGACAAAACTCAGAGAAATCTACAAACTAGCCTCTTTATCCCAACTACAAAATAATGAATCTAACATCTCAGTATTCCAAGTCATCGACATTTTATTAACTAGTCAATACTCCACACTTTGTTACGAGATATGTGGATGAATGCATGTTATACATTATAGAAATGATATATGTGTATATTTAAATAATATGAAAACGATATGAAGATAATGATTGGACATTGTTTACATATCTATTACAAGTCCATTAAACTTCCTATAAACGCTCTCAAGCTGTCACGTGGTTTCTTACAAACGCTCATAAAGCTCCATATGGCGTTCTAATAAATTAGTAAAAATCACAAATAAATCAAATAAATATCTAATCATTGATTTTTCTTTAAATCGGTGGATTCATTAGTTTTAACCATTAGATCTCCATCTAAAAGGAAAATGAAAAAAAGTGGTACCCACCTCCACTGCCGTACGTATGTACATCCGTGCTCCCTCCCACCCTCCGATCCTCCTTTCATCTCCTCTCCTATTTTTAGCTAACTTATCATATTTTCTAACTAACACTCAATATATTAAAAAATAATTCGGAAATGTAAATAATCATAACTCTCAAGTTACATTTATTTTGTTATTTAAAAATTAGATCATGCGACCGTTCTAACTACAAATGTCTAGGTCTGATGGTACCTATAAGCGCTCTTAAGTCATCACAATGAACTCTAATAAATTAAAAAATTCTATAAATATGAGTGATAAAATAAAACATTTAACCATCGATTTTCACTTAAATCGATGGACCTTATATGGTTAGATCTATCTTTAAGAAAAATCGCAAACCAACCTCCTTCCCTCCCCCGTACCACCCATCCTCCCGTTCCTCTCTCCCTGCCCTTCCTTCTTTGTTTTTTTCACTCCACAACAACCTCTCTCCATGACCTTTCTTCTTTGTTTTTTTCACTCTACAACAACTAAAATAAAAATTATCTTTACGGGCAAATAAACTCACAAATGGACCTATACCTAACACATCTAGCGGGCTCTCCCTCTATTACGTGATTTTCCTCTCTTTCTCCTCTACCTATAGCACGGCTCTCCCTCTATCACGTGATTTTCTTCTCTTTCTCCTCTAGCTGCACTGTAGAAACAACACAAATTAGACTTTAAAATAATCATAATTCTTTAAATCATATATACAATTTATGACATGTATAAACTACTGTAAATTTTAATTAAATCAATAATTTAACATGCGTATTAACTTACATTGTGGAACATATCCACCTTCAGGCCTCCACTAAATAAATAAAATACTAAAATTTCTCACTAAAAATTAAAATATCCCACCTTTTTTAAATAAACTGGTCAACCTATTATTTATACCCTACTAGACATCTAATGACTTTCTACCAACTCTTTCCATTTCAGATTATAAGTCATTTTAAATTTGGTCAATGTCAAACTCTTAACTTAGTTTATAAAAATACATAGTACATTTTCAACGCAAAACAAACATATTATAAAAATATATTCAATTCTGAATTTAATGAAAACTAATTTGGTGTCGTAAAAAATGATATATTTTTTCCGAAACAGAGGAAGCAATTAATTTCTCTTAACATGCATATAGGGGCTATTTACTTATACTTGATCTTAGATGTGCTTTTGTGAATAAATTATCTTTTAGGAGATAAATAAATGTTCCTAAGATGATCATAGCATATAAATTATACATAAGATATATGGTGTCACTAATAGATTAGAGAAAAAGCTTTTGATTATATATTTTTTAGTCGTAACGTGTACCCTGTGTAGGGTCTATTTGTCATATATATAGATAACAGATTGAAAATAACCAACATCGTGCGTTGAACATCATACAAGATCGTAGCAAACACATGGGTTGTGCCAATTATAGCAGTGAAACAGCCATATATATCAAATCAATTATATATAGAAATTAAAGACCATGTATATTTGTATATTTATTTATTTGGTAAAACTTGCTACACTGCATTGTAAATCTAGAAACACTCCAGTTTAGTGGTAGTTTAGTTAAAAAACATTATGACTGTTATTTTAATATTTCATACTTAATTGGAGAGAGAAATGTTGAAAGGATGCCATTACCCCATGCCAAGTTGTATGACCTTAACCCACTTATATTTTCATTCCAAATTGCAGAGATCAAAACATTTAAAGAATGCTTGACGGAATGAAAATCTAGAAAAGAAATTTAAAAAAACATGAAATAAAATTGAAAACTGAACATTTATTTTTTCTAAATCTAACTTTTTTTTGGGAATTTGAAACACATTCTAAATAGCAAAGTTCAAACATTTTAGAAGTACTAATATAATGAAAATAACAAAAAAAATCCTAATGAAATCTAACAGAAAAATTGACTTTTGGGGGCATTAATTTGGAAATAAAATCTAACATACTTTCAATTCGAATTATGCAACCCTAAACTATAACTTGGGAGCGATAAAAGTATCCTTTTCTAATATATTCTCTGTTTGAGAAAAAACATTTACTTCTAAACTTTAGTTTTCTACTGCAATACTATATTACTACAATCAATAAATCAACAGTTCAACATATCCACGTCATTTAATTAGATGATGTGGTCGTATTAGCCATATTTTTAATAGAAAATATTTTCAATTAATATATCCTAAAATCCAGAAAGACATATATAGTATACAAGACAAATGTTACTCACAGTTTAGAACTAAATATTAAAAAAGAAATGCATTGTGTACAACTCCATCGTGACACAATATTTTCTTATAAATTTAAAACTAAAACAGTTTTAAGTAATTTAGTTTAGAATTCATACGCCACATTGGTAATTAAAAAAAATACTAGCACTCAAAGAAACCCAAAAAATTATTGGAAAAACATGTTTACAATAGAGTAATCATAAACATTCGTAATAAAATTTCAAACACATTAAATAAGATGCACGCATAAGTGTGCGGGCTACCTTCCTAGTTGAGTTCTAAAAATACAACAAAAATACAAAAGATATGTCATATTTGCATGATATATAAAATAATATAGATAATAATTATATTGCTAGTGGGTGATGATGCGATAAACTTGCATGTGATTTAAAATACTTTAGATAATAATTGCTAGTGGGTGATGATGTAATACACTTAGGGGCTGTTCACTTTGACGCCATTTTCAACCATACCGTTTTTTTTTGGCAAAGTTGCCAAAAGAAATCCTACCAAAATTTGATAATATTGTCAACATTTATTTACAAAATTTGATAAGGTTTATTTTGACATCAAAAGTGAACAGCCCCTTACTTTAAGTGAATTAAGTGGGTGATGATGTGACACATCTACTTTAAGTGGAGTTGTGTATTATAATAATGTAGTATACTTCTCTATGTATGTATGGTGACTCAGAGAAGATTAATTAATTGATGGCATGCATGCTGACTGCAGCTTCAATATTCTTATGAAACGGTTGAGATTCGTTATGAAGGCAGCAGTGACTTCTTCACCTCGGCCTGGTCAAATGCGATGGGCTTGTTGAAGAGCCCGAGGGGAACGGTGATCCGTATTGAGGTTCTTGTGGTGTTGGCTGCTTGTATGCTTATATTCCTCGCCGTGTTTGGGTTTCTCCGACGGCGATGCACAAATCCCTTGTTCCAGACGGCTGTCATGGGCTCCTATGTCCTGTCCTCCTCCCTGGTAACATACACGCTTGGTTCAATGCAGTCTTCTGCTGCCAAGAGTGGCATGTACCCCATTTGGGCCTTGTCACTCTTTATCCTTTCTGGGTGCGCCGATTCAGTCACGGCATATAGCCTCGAAGACAACAATCAGATACAGAGACAGACATACAATGCTTGCCTCTACCATGCTTACGTCCTCCTGATATCTGCGACCATCATCACGCAAGGTGCCGGCGCAGGACTACTTATTCATCCACAGGATTATTGCATCTCAGCTGGCAAGCGTGTCGTGGAACCTGAACAAGATGGTTGCCGATTACATGCATGAGGAGCACGCCAATCATCCAATACGGGAGTACGACGCAGGCAGCATGAAGGGTTACCGTTACCTAGTCTACTGGCGATTGGACAAGACGTCCAAGATTGAAGCTGCGACATCATATGCAGCACGCGTAACAACAACAGATGATGATGCCCAGATCATTTGCATCGACGACATATGGCTCCGCAGCGACAAGTCACTGAGCACGGACCTGAAGGATGCCTGTCTCTCCTTCTCTCTATTCCATTTGTTGCGGAGGCGCTTCTTTGGGTTCACATGTGCTGAATCTGCACACCCCAAGACTAGTGATTTCGTCTTCAAGGGCCTGCTGCAGTTGAAGAATGGCAGCACAGGCACTGTAGACTACATCAGAGCTTTCAAGGTCATCGAGGTTGAGTTGGCTTTTATGTATGACTTCTTCTTCACAAAGTATGCTCTCATCTACTACAGTTCAACCTCTGCTGCAGTTTGGTCATTGGTTTCAGCTGCCTTCACAGTTTTAACTGCATATTCCACAACCAAACTCCATTGGCTTCAGGGTGGATCCACTGTTGTGGTTCAGGGTGGACCCACTGTTGTGGGCGACAACAAAGCTGACATTTTTATCACCATGCTCCTGCTTGTATCTATTGCTTTGCTAGAGCTGCTTCAGCCACTGCTTTACTGGACCACCATTTGGGGCAGAGTATCTTTTGTTTGTCAGTATATCAGACAACAACAGCCATTGCGGCATGGCTTCAGCTGCTGCATGATGAGAGTTAAGGAGCTTCTCACCAAGATCGGTCTGCGTGTGTCGTCAAATGGGAGCTACTGGCAGGACATGCTTGGGCAATACTCGTTGCTTGCATCAGTCAGCCGCAATAAACCGATTAAGCAGCTGGGGAGAAAACGTAGTAGATTTATTAAGTGTATGAATCTTTTGGACTACAGGGCACTTAATTTTTATCCAGCGATTGCCTCCTTCAAGAAGAAGAACCCTGTAGACAAACCTATCAAGTTGTCCCCACAAGTGAAGGAGGCAGTTGCCAAGTCCCTGCTGCAACATGCTGCTGCTGGTCATGGTAATCTGACGAACGGAGTGTCATCATTGAAGTCCAATGGAGCTCATCACCTCTTATGGGCTTGTGACCCAGACCCAGCTGCACGCATCTTGCAGAATCAGACGCCCTCTATTTTGATATGGCACATCGCGACATGCTGCTGCGAGAAGAAACCGCCCAACTACCAGCATGAAGAAGAGCTGAAAAATTTCCAGGTCGCCACTGCGCTGTCCAGATACTGTGCGTACCACAGCTTCTTCCTGGGCACCACTATGACACAGCGTGTGTGCTGCATGCGGTCGGAGAGGAATCCGTGCAGTTTCTTCGTGAACGTGGAAAAAAGGAGTTCGACGCCATGGCCCTGCAAGGCTATGAGCCACCACCGGAGGGCGAGCCAACTAAGGGCATATTCGAGAGTGGCTTGAAGCTGGGGAAGCAGCTGGAGGAGATGCCAGAGAAGATGCGTTGGAAGGTCCTGGCCGACTTCTGGCCTGAGATGTTGCTCTACATCTCGCCGTCAGACAATGTCAAAGAGCACATCCAGCGGCTCGCCAAGGGAGGCGAGTTCATCACCCATCTCTGGGCTTTGCTCTCGCACGCCGGCATCCTTGAGCGTCCGAAGCAGGAGCATCACCCCGGAAGCAGCGTATGACCGAGTAATATAATTACCACTCCCTGCTCTGCATATGTATCGCTCCCTCCGTTTCGTATTATAAATCGTTCTGACTTTTCTCTTAATCAAACTTAATTTTTTAAGTTAATTTGACCAATTTTAACAATATTTTCAGCACAAAACAAACATATTATCAAAAATTTTGGTGTTTTGGATTGCTATTTTTTTTTACTAATTTGATGAAACTTAAAGGTGTTTTGGATGTTGCTAATTTTTTTTTACATATTCGATGAAACTTAAAGAAATTTGATTAAGAAAAAAGTCAAAATGATTTATAATATGAGAGGTTATCAAACGGAGGGAGTAAATTGCATCTCTTGTCACCTTCTTGCTTGGACCATTGCATATATGTATATATGCTGATGTTCCATCGCCATGCATTCTGGAATATTTTCTGCATACCTGTGTTGGCTTGTTCCGGTGGTATATTTGTTTGTGCTTCAATGTTTATTTACCTCTTATGACGTTCAATGTTTCATATATAATATATTGTGTGAATAATCAAAGAAAAGGGTCAATATCAGGATACTGGTATCATTGGTATCTATAGATCATATATCATGAATATATGTCTTTGATTCAGTATTTATTTACGCCACGTCCATGTTTATATATATCTCTGTATGTAAATGTGAACTCCATGAATGTTTCCTGGATTAATTTCGTATACCATTGGTTTGCCTGTAATATAATGTGCTGGATATTGTGTCATGCCTTCATTGGATTGTTTTTGCATGCAAGGTGTGTTTAGTTCACACCAAAATTGGAAGTTTGGTTGAAATTGGAATGATGTGACGGAAAAGTTGGAAAGTTTTGATGTGATGGAAAAGTTGGAAGTTTGAAGAAAAAGTTTGGAACTAAACTAGGCCGCAGTTTCATAACAAGAAGGGCTTTTCTTTGTAATATAAGTTCTAATTTGTTTGTGGACCTTGCTTTGCCAAGCTGGCATCCCAGAGAGGAGTGATGTGAAACTGGAATGGAAATATAATGTGCCACAGTCCCAGAGTCATGAGGAATGCCTGCAACTTTTCATTGAGTTTTGCAGAAGAAAATTTTAACAAGCATTGAGCTTCGCAGAGAAAATTATGCACATAATTCTGTCAGAAGTAAGTGATAAGGGAAAAAAATACTTGAGGAACTGCAACGTTTTCAATTACAAGGGAAATGGGGGGTCTCAGTTTTGGAAGGGGTTGCAGGCTTGTAAAAGTTGGCTCTCTAGGATGGTAACAAAAAAGATCCATGATGGTAGGGATGTGAGTTTCTGGAATGATGTATGGTATGGGGATGTGGCTTTGAAAGTTAAGTTTCCTGAGCTTTTTGAGTTAAGCTACAATCAAAACATTTTCTGTCCAGGAAGTGGTTGAATTGAGCAATTGGGACATGGAGTTTAGAAGGCATTTAGATGAACACAGACAAAATGATTTGGGGGAGTTAAAAGGTTTGGTGGGGGATATTCAGTTGGAAGAAGGGAGGGATAAAAGTTGCTGGCCTTATACTAAGGATTCTTTGTTCACCACAAAGTCTATGTACAGAATGCTTACTTTTGGTGGAATTAAGGATCTGGCAATGAAGGGTATTGGATAGTATAGGAGGAGAGGAATACAATGTAACGTGGATTGATTGTATTGAGCCTCAGGGGACCGGTATATATAAGATTGCATTGGAAGGAGATAAAGAAGGATTACAGATATGAAAGGAGTCCATACAAATCAATCCTATCCTAATATGACTCTAACTACCATATACTCTAACACAGGGGTTATGGAAAAGCAAAATACCCTTGAAGATTAAACACTTTTTGTATCTAGTTGGGCGTGGGAGATTGCCTTGTGCTGAGCAGTTAGTGAAAAGGAAGTGGAGAGGAGGGGATGATCTATGTAAACTCTGTAAAAAAAACTGAAACTACTAATCATATAATCTTCAGGTGTTCTCTGGCTGTGTTTTTTTGGTGTGTTTTGAAGAAAGCTTTTCAGCTTCAGTCTATACCTAGAGATCTTTGAGAGTGTATCAATCTTGTCAAGGGAAAGGGAGTTTCCATAATTTGGGTTTTTCTTTCTGCTTGTCTCTGTTGGGCTTTATGGATGACTAGAAATGATTGGGTTTTCAATGATGTCCTGGTGAAATTACCTTTGCAAGTTGTTTACAGAGCTTTGTCTTTTTCGCAGAAGTGGAGCGTGTTGCTAAAAGAGGAAGAACGCACAATTCTAACAGAGTGGCGTGATGCTGTGCTGGACAAGCTAAAGCAAGTGAAGGCTCAAAATCTACCTAACTCAATCTAGCTTTGCTGTCATCTGGTTTTGATAGGCGTCTCTTAGTTCTTAGACTGGTTTTGCTGGCTGATTGCTTTACAGCAGCTTTTGGTCCTGATCTTGTAAGCTGGTCGGCCCCAGCATTTGCTTATGTGTGCCTGTTGTTTTTGCGTTTCAGTATAATACTCAGTATGTTTAACTTTGGCTTTCTCCCCAAAGCCGGGTCAATGCAATTGATATGTTCTAAAAAAAATATCTGTCAGAAGTTTAATGCCAAAATGTCTCCTTTTTTTTTCTTTGGACTCATGTATATTCTTATCAGTTATTTTGGTCGTTGGCCGTACATCAGTCATCTTCCTTGTAAACCCAATAACTCTAAAGTCTGAAAGCACCTTGCAAACTGTCATCCAACCTCAGCTACATTTAGTTAAAGATCAGTATGGATACTCTGAACTAGAAACGCTTTTAGCCCTCTTTAGGTCGCTCAGCTGAATCATTTGCCCTTGTAGGCTACTGTACTTCACCTGTTTCAACAAGATTATTGGAAGAAATGAGTTTTCCTACAGAGCATATACATATCAGAACTGAATCAAATCAAGCTATATTATGTCCTACTTACGTGCATCAGTGCTAGTGTGGACAGCAACTCTCTGCACTGCGCCATTAGAACCTGTTCTTGTCTGGTAATTATGGACAGCTGAGACACCAACACATTTGTCCTGGCTAGCTACAGAAAGAAGCAGATGACTTCAGGATAACTCACATAATTAAGGTGTAGAGTAGTTTATAATGTTCACTTTTACATATCATCACTTCAGTAGATCTCAATGCCATTATGTAGATTTGATTTGTGCTTTCAAGGGTAAAAGGAAACACATGAATGATTCGGAGAGAACGGCACCTTAGGCAGTAGATAACTCATTGAGTTTCTCATTGTCTGCATGACATCAACTGCAGAGCCAACAGCATTTTTGACAGACTGAAAATCTGCCTGCAAAGTATGAGATTGCAATGCCAAACATCAGATATAATCAAACTTGTATGAAACATGGAGGAAATAGGATCAGTGTTTTGTCAGGTTTCAAACCACTGCTCCATCAGAGACAGGAAGGCGAAGAACGGTAGCATTCAGAGCTTCCACTGTTCCTGACAGCGAATTAGCATACTTGTTCTCCAGTAAGGACCACTCTTCCAGATATGCCATCTGTATAGTCAGTGTAATGCTTAATTATCAGAATTTCATTTGAGTTACCATTCATAATGGCTGATCTATCTAATGATCTGGGACAAATCATGACCTTTCAACTAGTCTGCCTAGTACACGTGTACAGCTTCATTAGTCCATATATTAGGTGTAACTACTGTTGAAATCAAGTGATAAAGAGATGATTATTTTCAGCTTTACAACTAGGCTTAACCACAAACCATGTGCTTACCATTTGGACAGGCAAGTAAATCTGCATGTAAATGGCACGGAGCAACTACTCACAGTCCTGTAACTACCTGAAAGAAAAGTGTTCTGGTGCAGACTGCTGAGACTACCAGACTACTACCGATATTGTTCAAATCTCAAAAAATGCATTTTCTTAGAGAAAAACATGACGAATCACAATAGATGAATTCCACTGAAACATAAAACAGAGGGTGAAAATTTTGCCAAATAGATGAATTCCACTGAAACATAAAACAGAGGGTGAAAAATTTGCCAAAATAGCAGAATTCTTACTTGGCCCTTCAGAGTATTCATGACTTTACAATTTTGTCTCAGTAACTGTAGCTCCAACTTCTTGAGCGCAATCGATTTGCTCATCCCGAGGATACTAACCCATGCACCACACAATTGTTTCTGCAATGAAGAAAGGAAACAAATTAACAAGAAACATGAACAGTTGTTTACTGCTAAGGTGCACAAAATACTGCACTAATTCATGATGACAGACAGCAACTAAGATACAATCTTGACAAACAAAACTAAACTGACTAGTTTCCATCATACATATATCTAAATTTGCCTACAATTTGGTCCTTCACTTCGTGATTTTTCAAATGATAAATTTTGTCCAAGAACAGAGGAGAGATCACACTCACCTCTGCATTCAGTTCCTGCGCAGAAATCGCGGCGCCGGCCACCGCATTGGCGAGCCGCCATTGCAGATGGCGGTTGTGAAGCAGCCTCAGCTGGTGCTCCTCCTCGGCTTTGCCCTGCGCTTGCAGCCTCCCTGGAACGGCAGACGCCGCCGCCGTCGCCGAGCACCTCGCCGGAGACGGGCTCGCCGGCGAAATGGCCGCCGGCTTAGTTGGAGGTGGCTGTTTAGGCGACGGCCTGGTGAATGGCGAAGAGAGCAGCCCGTTGAACAGCGACTTGACCGACTTCTTCTTCGTCGTTGTCGGCGGCGGCGGCGCCGTCGGCGTCGTCTTGGGTGACGGTGAGGCCAGGAACCTCGGAGTGCGCGACATGAACGGCGTCGAGTGGTCCGCGAAGCGCTCCGAGCGGCTCCCCATGGCGTCGCGCGAGAACCGCGCGGGCGAGGCCATGATGCTTCTGGGAGACGGACGCGCTCTGGCGGCGAGCTTGGCGTCGGCGTCGGCGTCGCCGTCCGGTGACCCGGCGGACGACGTCGCGCTCTCGGTGTCGTCCGATGACAGCGCGGCGCGGAGGGGATTCGGGACGTCCACCGACGCGCGCCGCGGCGTCATCTCGTCGAACGCCACGGACCGCGTGGCGACGCCGCCGCGGAAACCGTAGGGCGCCGAGTTCGCCGCCGCCGCCGACGCCGGCCACCGGGCGTCGCACACCTTGGCCCGCACCGCCGCCGCGCCAGCTGCGAAACTGGCCCTCTTCTTCTCCGGCGACGGCGCATGCGGCACTTGCTTGGCCTTGCCGCCATCCAAGCAGTAGCTCGCGTCCTGGAACGCGACCGACACGGCTCTCGCCGCGGCGTCAGCCGCCATCGTCGCCGGCCGCCTCGTGGCAGCCGGCCGTGTCGCCGCCGCCGGCGAAGCGGGCCTGGAGGACGGGAGGAGGTAGCGCGAGGCGACGACTGCCCTGGGCTTCGCCGTGGCGGCGGCGCGGCGGCGCGACGTGCTCGGCCGAGACGCCACGGCGGCGCCGCCATCGACCACCATTGATCTTGAATTCTTGATTCCAAGAACACAAAAAAAAAGATAGTGGTTTATGGATCGAACAGAAGAACAGTAGCAGCTACTGCATCATCAACCGATCGATCGATCAATCGCTAGTGCTGCTGCTAGTTATTATGGATCGATGATTAATAGTAGTACGTGCAGGGTTGTGATCTGTGGGTGTACGTTCATATTCTCCAACATGTGGTGTGTGCCGTACGTACTTGCGAGCGTTAGATTTTGGTACTGAATTTTTGTATCTTTTTTTTTGGTTGATTCGATTTTGCCGTGATTACGTACGATCAACGTATACAGTATATGGTACTCGATCAATCGATTGTTATTTACATGATCTCGTACTGTGATATTTTAGATTGCATTCTTGATCTGAGATTATTTGTACATTCCTGGTATAGGAGTATCTTGGATTCTATGCTTTTCTGATTTATTGCTAGAAGGAAATCATGTACTACTAGTCTACTACAAGTCCTCTTGCTTAATGGGCCTGACGTGTTCGACCATTGTATTGGGCCTTGTTAAAATTTTACACTTTAGGAGGCCTTGTTGAAAGAAACTGAAATACTAGAGGGCGATATATACCATTGAAACAATTTTGCTATATATCTGTCGAAAAATTTTCTCCTAAAAATTTGACAGATGTAATTACTGTACGATCGTAGTGTAACTATACTATAACTTGCATGCAACTACAATGTAACTTTCACATAATTTTGAACTGTTAGATATGTTTTAAGATTTGTGTAAGTAAAGAAGGAAAAACGTCACCGAGTGCACATATATGAGAGGATTTGTTCCCACGACTGCCGTTTCACCGAAATAGCATGTTACGGAGAGATTTTTGAAAGTTAAATACAAGTTACATGTAAGTTACAGTATAATTACATAACAATTGTACTATAATTATATCTGTTAAATTTTTAGGAGAAAATTTGTCGACAAATGTATAGGTGATCCCGTCCTCTATTGTCCAACGGTATACTATTCCTTAATCTTCATGCAAAATTGCAAACCACCCTAATTTTAAGATTTCATCCTATGTCCCGATTTGTTGGAAAATCCCATCTACCAAACACATGTGAGTACTAGATTCGGCTCATTTCTTTCAACGTGGATTCACAGAGGGTCATTATCATGGTTTATCCAACGTGGCTATGAGGTGAGTCTGACTCGAGCTTGTTCCCAGGTTAGTTTGAAGTGGCAAGGTAACTGTGAACGATGAGAGGGGTAAGCATGGAGGCGATCATCTGTGGTGATCGGTAGTGAATCCACATTTAAAGAAATGGACCGAATCAACTATTTATGTGTACGGAGGTAACAATTTCAGCCTAGCAGCCTTAGATGGATGTGCTTTTGTAACAAAATAGGTTATAAGGTAAAATATCGAAACTAGATTAACAATTGGAGTGGTCTATGCAATTTTGCCAGAAAGAAAAGATATTTCAGGGTTCTTAAGCACGGATTACTTGTGTTGTTTCTTGACAGATTGATCATGGTGGAATCAAAAGGAGTTCCTAATCCTAATGGCTAATGGCATCATCTATATGAAATGATCCATCAGTCACATGTATGCCTGCCTCGCTGCCTACGGCACACGGCGCCTCTCCGTGACACACGCATCAAACTTGTAGCTGAAACCATCAGTTCAGAATTGCTTCTCCATGCTTCTCCTAATCTCTTAATGTTAACCTCAATTAATCCAGGAAATATCATCCATTCAGTCTGGTTTTCATGCCGTCTTTTTCATGCTAGTATGTGCTTATATTCGTTCCCGTTGACATTAATGCATTGTAGTATTTAACACAGATGATCACATCAAAGATAGCATCACACTCTTTTTGTTTCTCTGTTTTGCTGTCTGTCTGTTACTCTGTTATATGCAGGCTGATATTCCTTTAATTTTTCTGTTTGCTTAATATGTTCGTTTGTGTCGGCAAGCAATTTGGTCGTATTTGATCTTTGGCAGATGTGCTGTTCTCTAGTGCAAAATAATCATAGTATATAAACTGCAAAATTAACACCTTAAACAATCTGGGTGTACTAGTATTTCTGTGTGTGTTTGTCAGAGCTGCAGGTTATCAGTGATCACACGTCAAATTGATCAACTCTGATAATCAGAATCAGATCACTGTACAGGACTAAAAATCATGAGAATATTACAAACACAAACCAAGTATACACAGATTATCGTGTGTCTCTATCTTGCCTTCTTCCCTGTTGAATTCTGTATGGTCGGCATTCAACTACCAGTATATTTGAATGTGTGATGTGACGTTGATGAATTTTCTACAAATTAAGAAAAACCAAAATGAATGTGCTCTAGAGTATTCCATGAATATCAAATAACGGTGGTTGTTAGCAAGCCTGCCAGTTTGCACATCTCTCTTATCCTGCGTTATCAGAGATATAAATAATAAAATTCGTCCAAATCAGACGTCGAATTAATATATTATTTTCCCAATTTTCTATTCTTCAAAAAAGAAGTAATTTGCTTGTAATCATCCCATGTAATTTGGAGAAACACAAAGAGAACAATACACGACAAAATTAGGATAGGAACAAAATTGGTTTTGTACATTGAGCATAATCCTAGTAGTAATGTACATGAATCAGAAGCAGAGCAGCTTATGTGTACATACAACTCATGAATACATACACGCAAACGCAAATAGCACATCTTTGCTCTACTACCTACTTCCCCGTTTTGAACACGAGAATTTTATCCTTTTTCCAAGTGAATTGAACTGATTTTCCATGAAAATCATCCAAATTCCTCCGTTTTGAAGGCTGCCTCTCGAATGTTATAATCCAAGAAGGCAAAAGGAATCAAAGGGCTCCTTTCGACTCTGAATCGGATGAACATTTCTCAGAAGGCGCAGCAGCAGCAGGAGACAAGGCGGCTCCACGCGGCGGTGGCGGCGGGGCGACGCCTCTTCCTGCCGGCGGCGGCGGCGGCGGCGTGGCGCGGCGGCGCGGCGGCGTCCATGGAGCTGAGCATCTCCCACATGACGTGCACGTCGCTGTACTCGCACGTCCGCACCTCATTCCGCAGCTTCCCCAGGCCTGCAATCACGCACACGATACCGATCAGTCTCGTCGTCGTCGGCGGCGGCGGCGGCGGCGACCAAATCAATCCAAGAAGCACGGCGGCGGCGGTGGACTTTGACTAGCTACTTACCGGTGGTTCGCCGGAGGCCGAGGCGGGCGGAGAGGCCGAGCCAGACACGCTTCACCGGCACCGCCGCCCGGCCAAGCAGGCACGACATGATCGTCGGCCGTACGTAGCTTCGATTGCACTCCACTCTCTGCTCTCCTCTCCTTTCGCCGGCGATGTCTCTCGTCTCTCGTTCTCTTTCTCTCTTGGAGCTCGTGAAGCTTAGCTTGATTTATAGGCGAAGTGGGGGTGGGAGAGGATGTGGACGCGGCGGAGGAAGAGGAGCGCGCACGTGGATGGAAGGAGGTCTCGATCCGTCGACGTCGCGTTGTCTTCTACCTCGCGCCTTCACTTCCTTCCCGCCGCGCACGGTCACCTCCGACGGCCAGGGTTATTCGTGCACTCATACCGGCGAAAATATTTAGTGCCAACTTGAAAACTACACCGTCGGATCGAAGAGATTTGTTCACGTTATCCTGACTAAATTTTTTATTCCCAGATTTAATCAGAGTAAAAGTTTTACTGGAGTAAAAATTTTATTCAGTGTGACGTGGACAAATCTCGGACGTCTATTTTTTTTTAATATGATGGTGTTTGGTTTTTTTTACTACATATTTTCCGCCTGATACCATAACAATTTTCTCACCCTTGATTTGAAATTCTTTTTGAAACATGGTCATACACACGGCACACACACCCACCCTTACGAACACACGTCTGGACGTATTTTGAGATTCATTAAGTCATTACTGGTAGGCACGTCGTCTATCACTAAAAAAATTAATAATTAGCTATAAATGGGAGCTCTTTACTGAGTTTGGGAATAAAACCCATGGTGGGCAGTTGATCTTTATTTGATTTCCATATGGGGTGCTCTTTATTTAGTTTGTTTTTTCGTTGTTGTTCATTGGATGAGAAAATATACTCACAACTTCTATTCTCTCGTCTTCCCGCGTAAGCTTTTCTGGACTTCTCAACGGCATATTGTTTTTTCAAATATTTTCTATTGGCAAGTTGTTTTTTTAAAAAAAATCATATTAATTCAATTTTAAGTTCTTTTTAACAAATACTTAATTAATTATGCAATAATCTCCGGCTCTGTTTTACGTGTCGAGGAAGAAGGGTTCCCAACCTTCCCAAAATAACACTACCAAGAAGGAAATATATTTTTGTCAGAAAAAAATTGTTTGAAATCATAAATTCAAAACCAATTTTGTTTTGTATTCTATAATCTTAATAGGCAGTGGCTTAAAATAGAACACTACTCTAAAATTATACGTTTAGCAATGTTCGAAATGCGAAATAGACATGGACGATGGAAAAATGGGTGATGGAGCCAGATAATTTGAAATGTCGTTTTTTGTGACAAACAAAAAAAATGTGTTCGTACAAGTATCTGTCTAAACTCTCAAATCCCAGTTGTTATGCCAAATTAAATAAACACTCCCGATGTGGACCTCTTAATATAAAGAATAAAAACAAAGCACAACGCGACGTCGACTTTCTTATACCGAATAAAAAATGTTTCTTGAAAAAAAAGAGACGGCTGGAGTAAAATCTTTTAGCAGTAGCTCTCGCATATATTACTGTCACAAATTAATTCATCCTAGAGATGAAAACCAAAATTAATAAATAAATATCCTATTGGCCTGGCCCAAATGATAAGATATTTACCAGTTACCATCAGGTCATCATCTAAAAAAGTTACCATCAGGTTTCCCTTGCATATATAGAATTGCCAACTTGTTCATGATCAGTTGGTGTCAAATCCGTGTTAGAATTAACAGTCCATCTCTTCTTCTGTCTCCTGCTGTCATACACATCTGACGAAGTAGTAGTAACAGTGAGTAGTATTGAGCCATTTTAATTAATCAGCTAAAATATTCAGCTAACAGCCGCCTTAGCAGCAGGATTAGTGCCTGATTAAGCTTATCTATTCCTGAGCTCCTAACACGAGGCAGCACATTTCACATTTCCATTTCTTCCCTTGTAAAGATTCCTATATTAAATTAGATTGGTTGATGATCTTCCTTGTCATCTTGCAAGAGCATTATTGTGGGCCAAAATCTTGATGATTGATCACAATCTGCATGACCATACACGGAGAACTTGGGCAACATGTGCTCAAATGAAATACTACTACATGGTATTTTCCTCTTCCTCTCGTGTAACACATGCTCATTTTTCTCCATCCATAATCATGTTCATATAACTGCAAAAATATGGTCATCTGATATTTTCAGAAATCAGCATACCAGCCTTTATATGTAACTGTAAATTCAGAGTTCAGACATTTACTTGGTAGTAACTGCAATTTACAGAGTTGTGGATAGCACTGTCATTCATTCGTTCAGGAATTGATGCGGAAACTAACAGGACATGAAGGTTCAGACGTAACAGTCAGAATCCTGAGACGCCCAATTGCAGTTGCAGCTTTGTCAGACAAGAACAATTCTCTATTCCAATTTCTTGGAATGGAATGAATTTTCAGGCGTGAGTGCGTGTGCACCGTTAATTAGTGGAATTCGATTTGGCCATCACATCTCTTTCTCTTTCAGGGTCGCAGTCACCAGTGTGTACAAGCCAAGTTATTTTTTATTATTTATTTTGCAAAAAAGAATGTACCAATATGCCAACTTTAGTTTTGTCTGTTGCTAATCTGATACATACGTGCATGCACTGCGACATGGTTTGATTGGCATTGACATCACCAGGTTACACAGTTGGATCCATCTCAGAGGAAAGGAAGGAAAGCATAATCAAGTTAAATTTTTTTATTTAATTTGAAGGATAACACGAGATTAAGTTGTGTTTCTATTTGTGTTGGCTTGAGAAACAGTCGTGCTTCATTAGCTAGACCTGATCTCATTCATTGCCTGAAAAATATTTCAGTCACTCGCACCCACACTGAAAGTCTGAAACTGAAATTTTCAGAGTTAGCTGTGTCAATTTTCAATCTTCTTTTTGCATTTAAGTTTACTACAGAAAGTTTACTCAATGTGTGTGATGCTCCAATACTAAGTCACTGGATCATCACATCCAACTCTCTAAATTAGGCTCTTTGATGGGCCAATGGATGATTACACTGACACACTCACACCCCACTCTGAATTCTGAAGCCTGAACTTTTTCACCATATATATATAAATAAGAAAGTTCCAAGAGCTCTTATGATCCACTAATCTTGGCACTTTAAGTGCCAAGGAAAAGCACATTAGGCCAGTTTTGGGGGGCCTGCTTAGAGATTGACACTTGGAGCAAACGAGTGGCTCCTCTTTCAGATTCGGTGTAGATTATTGATGATGATCTTCATCTTTTGCCCAACCAAAGCTTGCAATTGTTGGGGTGGCCACTAGAACAAAAAAAAAAAAGAGAAACAACAAAAGGAGATTTTTTTTTTCAGATTATCATCCAAAGAATAGCAAAGCAGTGCATGCGCAAATGCAACTATCAGAGAATGGAGATTGGCATTCCTTTTGTTGTTTTGGGTTCCTTTCTAAATTCTGATGATGGTGTATGGATGTCATGTTAGGATATAAAACTTTACTTTTGTGGCATGAAAGAAACATAAGCCTAAATGTGCACTCAACTATATTTGCTTCTCTTGGACTAAGGACCCCCATCGTTTCGTTTATCCTCTGCTTATTCATACCGCTTATTAGAAAAAAGAAGGTATAAGTAAAACTTTTATATACTTATCCTTAGTGATACAAAAGTAAATGTTGTAAAATAAACCACAATTAAAAAAAATACAAAATCAACTTCAAAATTAGGTTTTGAAATTAAAATTTTGGTTTATTAGCATAATGGGACCATTAGTACTTGATTTATTCATTCCATTTGTGCAGCATACCACAATGATCTTTTCCTGCAATAATACGGGTCGTTTCTTATGTTTTACATCCTCCATTTCATAATGTAAGTCATTCTAGCATTTCTCATTATCTAGATTCATTAACACCAATATAAACGTGAGAAATGCTATAATGACTTACATTGTGAAACGGAGGGAGTAGTATTCAGTTTTGGTCTTCTGACCATGCAGATCGCAGAGGCTGTTTGCTCTGCACGACTAGCCACTTGAGCTTGACAGCTGACAACAAAAGCGCGTTGATTTTATTTTATTTTACTTTGGTCGTCGTTAGATTGCGTTCTTGTTGCATAATAAAACGACAAAAACAGTCTTCTCTCAGTTCACTGAATTTGCAGTTTTTACACTGAAATTATCGCCTCAGTTTAGTCAGTTATCAATCGATCGCAGACACCAACACGAACACTGAATTTTCCCCCTATTTTCCAATCTTGCAATGCCTTCTCTCTTGGGCCCAAAGCCCAGTTACTGCTTACACAGCACAGGCCCACCCAAGTAATTTGGGCTCAACTCCCTTCCCCTCTTGAGCCCAAGGACCATCCGGCCCAAGCCCCAAAACCCAACCCAACCAGGGCGACGACTGCTAACTCCTCACCTCCGCTGCCCGACCATGGCCGTACCTCCGGTCCTCCGCCGGCGGCGACGGGCTCCAATTACGCCGGTGCAGAACGCCGGCACCGCCGCCGCCAACAGCTTGCGTGCGTGTCCCGCGATCGATAAAGCCTCCTCTTTTCTCATTCGGGTGCCGCCCTGCACTGTAAGTACATGGAGAGAGAGAGAGAGTGGGACAACGCGCGGCCGCACGCCAACTGCTCGGCGAAATGCCCAGGCCACCGCGCCGCGGGCAGCGCACGGTATGGACACAGGTATGTTACGTATGCTCATAAAATGTCTGGGATCCAAAAACTGGTCACTTGGCATTGGCACCCACCTGTTTGCACAAACTGCACTATATGCACATTCACAAGCTATGTGTTGCCGAATTCTTCCTTTATTCATAGTATTGTTGAAGTGATTTCAGCGAGTGCCCTCTGTTAGGCTAACTACTTTGTTTATCGTCATTTATTAATTTATTATTATTATTAGCTAAAAGAGCATACCTTGGAAATTTTGCATGATCGTCTACCAGTATCTTATAACCTAGCACAAAATGCTCAACAGTAAGCAGGAAAACATGATGGAATTATGTATGCCATGAAAGAACCTCATGATTGCATATAAAGGGAATATGTATAAGCAGAATTAGACAACATCTTCCTCCTTATTTAGATGAACAAACAACACTCACGGCTAAACACGTACTAGTATCTTGTTGAGATCTTCCTCTCACCTAGGTTAATACACAACTATGCCCGTTGTGTTCTTTTGCCAAGGCATTGGACGTTGCCGCCTTCAAAGTACCATTTACTTATTCTTCAGCTGCTTCTCTTGCCAAGCTTGACCAACTTACAACCAAGAATACGTAAACTCTATCATACAGCTTGTCAAAGAGCCGGAAATAAGCAATCCTCCATATCTTGTTGAACAGCAGGACACAAAATACCACCCAGATCCCCACCACAAGTCCTATACCGAAACCAAAATAAAATGTCATCGGTTTGAATTCTTGCTTGCTGCTGTGGATGAATGTATAATTTCTTGAACAGTTCTTTTGAAGAGGAGGTCCACAAAGTCCTTCATTTCCAATATACATTAGTGATGGATCATTTGCACTGAGGGTGTCAAGTTGGCGGCCTGAGGGTATCATTCCAGATAAATTGTTGTAGGACAAATTCAAGTAGCTTAGGAATGCCAAACTTGATAAGCTCGATGGGATTCCACCAGAAAGTTTGTTCTTAGAGAGGTCAAGAGATTCCAATGACTGCAGGGTACCAATCTTGTTGGGAATTTCTCCACTCAACTGGTTTGAAGATAAATTTAAATTTATTAATGCATCAAGAGAAGTGATATTTGGTGGAATTTCACCTGTCAATGAGTTTGTTGATAAATCAATGCCCACAAAATATTGAAGTCCCCCGCCATATGGAAGTTGTTTCCCTTTTGTAGATATTAATAATATTTCTCCGAATTGACCACTTACTTCGACTGTGACCAAACCAGAACTCATACTAGCACCAGAAAAAGGCTGGAAGCCTTTCATTGTCATGCCTGTAAGGTTAGATAGATGCCACGGTATAGCACCAGATATGTTGTTATCTGATAGGTCCAAGTACTGGAGAGACAAAAGATTTGTAATTCCAGCTGGAATGCTCCCAGAAAATGTATTATGACTTAGTCGTAGAATTTGTAAATCTCTAAAGTCTCCTATCCACGCAGGTAAGCTCCCAAAGAACTTATTCCATGCAAGATCCAAAAACTGCAGGCCTGTGCAGTTCTGCAAAAAAGCCGGGAATTTTCCTGATAACGTATTGTTGCTTAGCAGGAGAAAATTGTAGCTGATCTCAGAACATTGTGGGATTTCACCCACCAGAAGGTTGCCTGACAAATCTATATCTCCCAACAGTTGCAATTCGCAAATAGATTGCGGAATGTTGCCACCAATTCGGTTTGAATACATGAGTAATGTTTGAAGCTCTGGAGCTTCAAGATGTGGCGGCAGTGTTCCTGAGAATGAATTGTTGGAGATGTCTTAACACATTGATTTTTCTTGGAAAAGGAGGTATTGGTCCAGTGAATTGGTTTGAACTGAGGTAAAGTTGTTCAAAAGCCATGTCACCTAGATGCGCTGGTAAGCTACCACTTATTTGATTTTGCGACATGTCCAGATATGTGGCCTGGGAAAATGTTGACCAAAACCAATCAGGAATCTTGCCCATTAGACCTGTGCTTGAAATATCAAATTCGATGATTTTGTGCTGCCACTGAAGCCAAGATGGAAACAGAGGCCCAATTTGACAAGATGCAAGCCATGCAGACTCCAGCCTGAAGGGTGGAAGCCAATCTGAATCCATTGAAAACTTCAAATAATTGGAAGACAGGTCTATGTTCTTCAAGCTTATCAGACCTGCAAAGTGTTCTTCCCTGATAACACCACTGAAAGTGTTATTGCGTAGGACCAAAGAAGTCAGATTAGTAAGCACACCAATCTCAGCAGGTATGCTTCCACTTAGGCGATTGCTGGAGAGGTCAAGGCTGGCTAAGCTTAACAAATGCATAACCTCTGTTGGTAGATGTCCAGAAATATCATTATAAGAGAGATCAAGGCTAACTAAAGACGTCAAGTCTCCAATCCCTGGTGATATACTTCCAATAAGGTTGTTAGAGGAGATGTCAAGCATGCGCAAGCTCGTGAATCTTCGTATCGAATTTGGCAAGGCTCCAGTGAAATTGTTGTAACTCAAATGCAACTCCAGTAATTTTTTCCTTGCAGCACACTGTGACGACAAACCGTCAATCAACATTGTCATATCTCCAGTTATCTCCATGTTGGTGAGATCTAGTATTTCCAAACTGCATAGATTGTTCAGCTCTCCTGCCATCACTAGTCCTTGTTCAGATTGTTGTATGAAACATCAAGGACTTGGAGAGATGTCATGCTTCCTAGTTGTTGTGGAAATTTTCCAACCAACCCATTGTAGGATAGATCAAGCATCTCAAGTTTTGTGAGATTGAGATGACAAGTGACTGGTTTGCATTTTATATAGTAGCGGTAAATTATGAAGTTTACTACATTGTTTAGCAAATTATAATTAACATGAGCATCCTTTTAGACTAAAATTGATAACAACAATTAACCCACACATTTAATTAACATGTGATTAAAATTTTAATATTCACAATAACAAATATATAATAATGTCCCGTGCAATTTGATCACGGCTGATTATCAGTTAATAAAGTTCTACTAGCACATAAAAATGCCATATTCAATGAAAAAGGGGAAGGTGAAAAGTATAAAAAAAAAATTTCATTTACTCCCAAAAAAAATGTCACCAGTGATCTTAATTCTATTTATTAAATAAAGACGCATGTAGGAGGAAATACATCAATATAAAATGTACGCATACAGATCACGTCCCGCTTGTTTTAGTGCCATCTGATCAATGACACTTTCACGTACAACCATATGACCTTGGTACGTGGCAACATTGGCAACGATGTGATGTTTCACTTTCTAGCTGAAAAAAAAAATACACGCCATTCATATATGTTGGCCAGTGGCCACTTAGCTTCGACCACCAAGTGGAGATGATGTTCATCAGTTCATCACTACACCGAGGTATCATAGCATTAAAGAACTTTATGACCAACCATTTTGATTGTAGTTTACATGCATCTATATATGGCTTGAATTTTGCTTATGTTTTCCCTTTACATTTGTGCAAAAGAAAGCAATAATTTGAAAACTGGATTAATTAAGCTCAGTGTAAGAACAACCATGTAGATGATCATCAGTTAATAATTAATTGAGCACTGCACAATTGCGACGAATGTTGCCTTGCGACCCGGTCTTGACCCCAACCCGGCCCAACTTGGTCATAGCCGTGACGAAGGCCTGGTTGAAGGCGGCGCTGCTCTGGGCCCAAGAATCCACGATGGGCCTGGACCGTGGGTCCGAGTACAGCACCTGGTCAGAGCCCAGAAGGCCCATCCCGTTCTGCAGGTTCTTGAAGTACTGGTTGTCGAAGGCCCGCGGCGTCACCGGGTCCATGGTCACGGCGATCCGCGGGTCCACGTTGGGTGGGCACGACCTCTGTAGCTGGGCTGCGTATCTTGGGCTCATCGTTGGATCCACCGACGACCCACGGATCCGACCCAAGAATGTGTTGCAGTGTGCGAACCCCACCGTGTGCCCCGCTGCACAGTTTAACATGACAATGAGGTCAAATGTATACATACAAAAAAATACAGTAGGTTTTTGAAGTAGCAGTGAGTAACACCACACTACTACAAAGCGGATTTGTACTGGGGTAGAATCTATTTTCGCAAGCGGACGAAGCGTCCACCATATTGGCTAGTGAAAATCGATGAAGTGACATCTCGGTTTTTTATTTTTTATTTTAGTGACAGTATGTAAAGATATGTGACAGCTGAGTGGCTCAGATTGATTCTACCTACTTCCTTCGTAAAAAAAAAGGACAACCTAGGAGAGGAAGAGGGGATGTGATTCCTCCTAATTCAACGAATCTGGACAGGTGACACGTCCTCTTTTAGATTGCCTTTTTTTAAAGGATGGAGAGAGTAGGTCCAAATCGGAATGTCGTGACAGGGCATGTTGCTATAAAAAAAACAGCTCATGGGCAAGCACATAGTTTTGTCTCTTCATGTTGGGCTGTTTTCCAGAGATGGGCTTGGGATCGAGTGATCTCGATGGATGGAAGGATTTGTACGGTTGTTTGTACAGTTGTAGCAGATGGTTCCAACCACAGGCAAGCATGGTTGGTAGGAGTTGGATTGTGTGCAAGCCAGGGAATATTTACTTAGCTACAGAGATCTGGTTGCCTTTATCTCTCTCTCAGATGCAACAAAAGCTAGCAATATGCATGCATGGGAGATGTAGTAACTATGCTTAAGTAGGAGATAATACTTAGTACACATGAACAAGTTGCTTTTGCAATTAATTGGTTGCCTAATCATTAAAGCACAAGCAATCAGTAATTGGTAGTGGCTATTTCTCAGAGTCACTGAGTAGATATGTACTGATATATTATCAATATAGTTGCCTTCACTTGGAAGACCAGAAATAATTGATATAATTATTTTGAGAAAGTGTTTTCATTTTTTTAGGGTATATGTCACCTAAGTACGTAGTTTTTTTTAAAAAAATAAGATAGATTAACATAAGTTATTCACTCCACAAACATATTTGATTTCTAAGAGATAAAAAAAATAGATACATAATACTAGATTCAGTTTAATTTATTTTCGAATTTAACCTTTGTTAGTATATAACTCATAAATCTATATATTTTCTTAATTTTTTCAATGATCATCCCTCGAGAGGAATGAGAAAAATTGAAAAACCATCGTCGAAAGATTTTGATTAAGTTTAATTGATGGGAGCTGTTCATAACTAATTAATTGCAGTAAGTGATGAAGACTAGTGTGGCTGACCGGAGAGGGCGATCATGTCGGCCTGAGAGAGGCCGTTGGCGGCGAAGAGCGCCGTGAGCTGGTCGAGGTTGAACGTCGGCGGCGGCAGCCTCCCGTTGACGCTGCTCGCCGTCGATCTCAGCCCGTCCAGCCGCCCAAGCTCCACCGCGTACGACGGTCCTCCGGCCTGCACACCATTGATTCCGATCAGATGAAGATTCGCTTTCTTTGCATATGTACCCATGCAAACACACACACACACATCTCTCAGCAAAATTAATTAGAACTTTGGTTAATTATGCGACATATATGATGATAAATCTTGATGGTGACGTGGCGTGTCTCCTGTTCTAGGTTACAAGATGTTTTAATTTTAGTCTACTCTAAGTTTGTCTAATTCTATAGAAAAAAGTAGTAATATTTACAACACTAGTATAGTTTCATTAAATCTATAATTAAATAAAATTTCATAATATATTTGTCTTGAGTTAAAAATAATACTACTACTCTTTTTTATAAAATTAGTCAAACTCAGAGTTGTTTAACTTTGAACAAAGTCAAACCGGGAGTACACGTACCAGCGCGATGGCGTCTCTGGTGGCCATGGCGAGGATGTCGGCGCAGGAGACGCGGTCGCGGCATCCCGGCACGGCGTCGACGGCGGCCTTGGCCTTGATGACGGTGTCGAAGCCGTCGCCGGCGAGGGAGAGGTTGTTGGGGTGGTCCTTCTCCGCCGTGTTGTTCCCCGCCGACGCGACCACCACCGACGCGTCGCAGCCGTCGACGAAGCAGTCGTGGAAGAAGAGCCGCACGGTGGCGCCGACGGTGGCGAACGTCTCCTGGACCTTCCTCGCCACAGCGCCGCGGACGATGGACTCCACGTTGGGGCACACGCCGGCGTAGTAGTTCCGCCGGAGCTGCGCCGCGCACACGGTGGCGCCGCCCGCCATAGCGACCAGCACCAGCATCGCCGCCGCCGCCATCCGCCGCCTCATCACCACCACCATCATGTACGTCTTCTCCGAGATCAGCTTAAGCTTAAGCGAAGCTAAGCTATATAGTGAGCTAAGCTAGGTGTGAATTAAGTTAATGTGGTGTACTGGTTGCAGTGGAGCACAAGTGAAGCTAGCTAGGTAGACGACGATCGATGATAATGCTCTAGGCAGAGTGGCCGGTGATGAAGTGGATAACGGCGGCGATGGTGGTGGTGGTGGATTTGTATAAATCGATCGATCGTGCATTGGTGCCAAGTGGTTGGATGAACTGTGTGTGGCCGGCGAGGAAGAAGGGCATATGCAGGTGACGTGGTTTAATCTTGGCCGTTGGATGAGGCAACCGACGGTGCAGATGGAGGCCACGTCGTCGTCGTTGTCGATATGATGCATGGTCCCCGGGCGTAAAGGGCAGAGTGGTGTATATGTAGGTGTTGTGATCATCGATCCGATCCGGGCATGACGTGAGGTTGATATGAAACTGAACGAGACGGGTATGCACAACTAACTGCACCAACAAATCTTTCGTTGCGTGGATATACGTATATCGTTTGTGAATTAATGTGCCCAATGATAGCTTGATCGGCAAAAATGTTAATCCAAAGAAAAGGGCTAGCTAGATTATACTCACATCGATGTTTGATAGTTAGACGATGTTGTTAATTTTTAGATATATGTATACGCTTGGTCATTCATCTTATATAGTACATAATAATTTGTGGAAATATGAAAATTTTACAAGTCATGTTTATCGATAAAAGGTAATTATTTTGAATAAAAAGAATGATTAAATATATGTTCAAAAGTTGATTATGATATCTAAAAGTACTTGGCATATACTCCCCGTCCCTAAATATTTAACGTCGTTGATTTTTTTTAAACATGTTTAACTGTTCGTCTTATTAAAAAAATTAAGTAATTATTTTTTTTCCTATCATTTGATTCATTGTTAAATAAACTTTTATGTATATATATAACTTTACATATTTTATAAAAGTTTTTAATAAGACGAATGGTCAAATATAAGCTTAAAAAATCAATAGTGTCAAATTAAATATTTAGAGACGAGGGAGTATGATGCACGTCACAAGTGAGCCATGCAGGCTGAATCATGATGCAGTGCATGAGGATATTTATGTTAGTTACTCTTTCCGTCCCATGCTTTTTTATCAAAATCAAACTCGATAGCCCTTGACTAATGACCATACGTACTAGCTATATCTATACCATGTATTATACATGTTATATCAGTAATTTTAGATTTTGATATATTTTCATTTGATGCTAATTTCATATTTATTAAAAACATAGTCAAAGTGTGTTATTAAAGAACGTGTTAAAAAGGAGTAATTAGCAATAATTAGACCAATGTGAAAGTGTGCTATTAAGGGCAGACCTAACCCATAGTGTCCATAAACAGTGTCTATGGTACCATGTCAATAAGACATCACAATAGAAACTACAATCTACAACCCATGGTTTCTTAAAGTGGGCCATTAATAAATACATCATCTCTCTTCTCTATCAATCATATTTATTCTTCATCTATTATAAAGACACTATTCTCTCCCAATGCAAAACTTGATAGTGTCTAGTATATAGGTTCTCGTGTTGAAGCTGTCTTGCATGAGACCCAGTTTCTTCCTCTCTTCACTCTCTCTCTTAATTAATATAGTGTCACATAAGTTAAAAGTCCTACATGGCAATATAGTTAATGTCATAGACACCATTCTAGATAGAGGGTTGGAACTGCCTTAAAGAACGTGTAAAAAAAGAGTAATTAGCAATAATTAGACCAAGGTGGAGGTGGTCTCAAGGGAAGCATGCACTAGCTTTTATGGCTAGCTTGTTTGCACTCCATGGATAGGACATTAGGACTCCACTGCTAAAAGTATATACTACTAGTATTATCTTTTGATGCCTCTAGCTAATGGTGCTCACCCAAAAAACGGCCACATGACACAACTAGTGGCTTGCCTAGAGATAGCTGGACGGAAACGAGATGTGGCCGAGATGATATGCCTATCTTTGTCGATACTATTTGGAGGTGGCTTCTGGAAACACCTAAAAGCAATTAATTGTACACTTATGATTTCCTATTTTTGCATATGATTTTGTTTTCGTTTTTTTCTAAGAAAGCAATAACATGAAGAACAATATTGTAACAAACTCTTTCATAATTATGACTCTCTTGTGTGTTCCATATATATAAACTGTAATAATAGTGTTCGATCATTCATTCACTAATTATTTGATATAATGCTTAATTATGTAAATTTGCAACCTATATATAAGACATAATTTTATTGGATAATTAATAAACTATATAGTTATCATATTTTCTTGTAAATGGCCTAGTAACTATTTTTTCTCTATTATGTAGGCACATGCACACACACTACAACACGACTACAGAATAGCTTCACGCATGAGTACACGTGCAAAATGAAGCAGCCCCTAACAGTACACGTGCAAGGAGATGGAGGCCACAGCCCACACACAGGAGATATATTGTTCTCATGTATGAATCCACCGTCGCTTCTCTCGTCCCTTCGCCTCCTCTCGTTCCCCTTCCTCTCTACAGTAACCTCTCCAAAATCTCTCCCTTCCGGCCCCTCTTCCCCTTCGATTCCGATGGTTCGCCGCCGGCGAGGGTTGGAGGAGGGGTCCGGCCACCTTCCCCTAGTAGTATTTAGTCAGGTTTGTCCTGTTCGTAGCTAGTCTCGTGTCCTAGAGTTTGCCGGTGTTGCCTCCCATGGTGGCGGCCGGTGTGGTGGTCCTTGATGGCGGTGGTGGTTGGAGCTGGTGGCTTTGTGCCTCTATGATGGGGAATCGAAGCTCTGGTGGGGGATTCACCCTCCCGCTTTGGTCCCAAAGGGTGGTGAAGATTCCAGATCTGAGTTACCTTGGTGGTGATGGAGGCGGTTCCAGCGGCGGTTGCTGGAGGTGCCCTGCGTGCGTGTGGGCACACGCTGGTGGTGGCAACTACGTCGCGCTCGGCGTTGTGGCGGTCGTCGTCTCCCTCCGTTGTACTTGTGCTGGAGGTGGCGACGGCGTGTACGCCGCCCTTGGCGTTGCTGCGGTCATCGTCTCCCTTCGTCGTGCTTGCGCTGGCAGTGGCGACAGCGTGTGCACGGCGCTCGGTGCCGCTGCGGTCGTCGTCTCCCTTCGTCGTGCTCCTGTCGTCTGCTGCGCCCCAGCTTGCGCTGCCCCTGTTGCAGCCTCTGCCTCTGTTGGCAGCAGCCATGGTTGGTTAGATGACGACAATCTCCTCCAAGTCAATGTCTTTGGGATTTTTGTGATTGGGTGTTTGCTTCGGCTAGATTCTTGTGGTTCCAAGTTGCAGGTCACCTCCTTCTTAGCCATCGTCGTCCTCACAGCAAGACATAAGTCAATTGGCAACCTCTCAAATGCCCCATTGTTGATGGTTGGCTGGTCTATGGTTTGGCCCTCTCTTTTGTTTCCTAGCAGCAGAAACCGCGTATAGTTTGTCATTCGGGTTGAGCTCGGAACCCCTGTGCAATTTTCATTATCAGGGTTGTTGTTAGAGTTCCTCAGATTCAATGACGAATCCCGTGGGGATGCTTCGCTGAATCCGGTGATGCTCGCACCAAAATCTATGGCTCAACAATTATCCTCGATCTTGTGCCGTTCCCGTGAAGGCAACCAAAGGGGATCAACGGTTTGTCAAGCGGTGTGCAATTCAACTGAGGCCCAAGGTAGCAGTCGTCGCGGTTTTAAGACGTCGTGGCTCTACAATCGTCACGGCATCAACGCAGCTCCCTATCGGCTTGCTCCTTTTTCTGCTATTTTGTTACATCTGGAAGGCTTCCATAGTTTGGTTAATCCTCTTTCTTTAGGGTTGTCTCTAATGCTTTCAGCTACTATCCTTTGTTGTGTACTGGGGTTTATCCCCTAATATCTGTTCTTACTTAATAAAGTTGTTTGTGTTTAAAAAAAAAATCCACCGTCACGCCTCGATCTCCCTGTTGATTGTTGTAAGAGAAAAACTAATTATTAATTAACTAGAGTAAAATTTAGAGAAATGCAAATTTAATAACTAAATTATCAATATTTACTACAACATTAATTGGTCACCTAGTTCATTGCTGCAAGGATTAAGGATGAAATTATTATGTAGGTAAAGTTGAATCTAGAAAAAAAAAAGGTATGTAAAGCTCCAACAAGTTGATAATTTGGTCGCTAAATTAATTTGTACGTACATGTCTAAAATTCACTCAATGGAGTATTAATCTCTATCTCTTCTCGATCTATATCTATTTGTACATGTGCTAATCTGCTGCCAATGAACCGCAACCTTAATTAATTAAGCTTTAATCTCGTTGTCTCTAGCGCGATCTCACGCTGCTAATTTGTCCTGCTCCCTCTCCCCGTTCTGCATTTATTTACTTGCATGATGCATGTCATTCAGATATAATTATTATTCGATCCAAGTTCATTTTTTATGATTCAAGTTTCGTATAGGTTTCTTTTCGACGTCATTTTTTAATGATAGATGCTCATGATATATTAATTGCTCTTGCTATAAGTGGTTAATTACATACTAATGGAGTATAATTAAGTTCAACAAAATCAATTGAAGTAATTTGATTCTTTTTTAAAGAGATTAGAATATAAAAACTGAACCTAAATGATTAATATTTATCTTAGTTTTATTTTTTTTCCTTTGCACCGCAACGTACTTGTAATTTTTCTAGTTACTATAATAATTAGTAATAAATCTATTCTACACCCTGAATAATTCCTAATAACTAATAGCTCTCGTCCAACCAATCGAGCCCATGACTGGCACGTCTAATTAATAGGATCTTTTTTTTTGGAAAAATACCTAAAGTCGGTTTGGCTTTTCTGGGGTTTCGGTTTTTACCGAAACAAATGGAGCGTTCTATTCGTGAAAAGCTGAAACCCGTGTGTAATGTGTTAATTGTGTGTTACTAGTTCTCAAAAAAAAAGAAAAAGAAAAAGAAAAAAAAGAATGTGTTGTGTGGGGAACTGGGGGATCAACTATTCCAATTTACCAGGTGGTTATTTACGTCGGTTGGATGGGCCAACTGATGGGCTCGAGCGGGCGAGATATATAGGGCCGGGCTCCAAGGCCCTAATTAATTAAATAGCAAAATAATTAAGCTAGAATATCATATCGACCAAATTATATTAAACCCTAGATAGAGAAATAATTAGAGAGAGAAGGAAGCACCACCGCGTGCGCCATGGCCGCAGCTGCTCTCCGCCGATCGGCGGCGGCGACCGGCCGCCGCCTCCTCTGCCACGCATCAGATCATCATCATCATCAGGTAATCCAGCGCCCGTACGTGTACTTCTACCTTAATTAATTAGGTCACACCACTGCCTGCCTCTTAATTTCTCTCGACCGATCGATCAACCAATCTCTTCGTCTTTCATAGTAGTATGTCCCTATAGCTGATCAGTACTCGCTAATTTTGGCCTAATTAATGAAACTTATCGTATCTTTTTTTTCTTTCTACTAATACGTAATGCCTGTTTAAAGTTTATTATATTTTTCTTTTATGCACGCAGCAGGTCGATCCATTGCTCTTGAAGAATGTCGAAAATTTGGCAAAAAGGCAATTACTTCGTGACTTGACTAAGAGGTACGTAGTACACTATTATGGAGTAATATACATATACGCACGCATGCGTGCTTGAATTAATTGTCTCTACATATCTGTCTAAGCAACAAAGCTTCATCTTAATTATTATCATAGTAGATTTAATACTATAGCCAATTCATACAATAGTTACCTATAAATATATACCACACTATTAATAAATGATTCCTCAATCATACGCACATTATATGTTGAAGTCCGTACGTTCTGCAGCTGTCTATAAATATGTAGCTCGCTACTTTTTTCTTTCCTATTTTATCTTCTCGATATATGCTTATATATAGTTAGCTTATAGTCTGCTATTGTACTTGCTTTTGCTCTTAGTTCACCGTCTTTCCTTTTTTTAATTAAGCCTCATATTAATTAATTACATCTGCATGCAGATTGGCTAAGGAGAAGCGTGCGTCTTCTGTAGCGCCAACCTTTAGAGGGATTGCATCGTCATGGCCGTTTGCTTCTTGTGCAATTATGTTAATTATGGATGGATATCAGAAGCGCTTTAAGAAGGATTGTAAGAATGCAGCAGCAGCTAAGAATCCTTAATTAGGAACAGTTCTAAATTAAATTAGTTTGCTTCAATCCCCTGGCCAAAGTTCATACCAACAACAACTTAATTAATTGATGTGTCTTTCTGGATATAACTGTATATGAATGATATATACGCGTCCATCTCGTCTGTCTAAAGCCTATAACTAAGAATGTAATACTGTTTAATTTCTCGCTTTTCTCTCCTCCCTAAATAAATATGCAGAGCTCCTTCCATCTTAATTTCCTGATTACATCTCCCTTGACGCGCCTGACTGTGTCACCGCAGGTGCAACAGTCTCCACCCCCAATGTGTCTCGGGCGCTCGGCAACCTGCATCTTGCTCCGCAGCATCAGGGACACATCACCCTGCCTTTGTTCTGTCGCATCTGATTTCTGTTGTGCATTACGTTATGTTGTACGTAGTCTATGCAGCCTAGATTCTCATGGCTAGAACCTAGTTCTCGGTGGCAGAATTTGTATCGAGATATTTGAACGTATCAACTGTGGTCGAAATTGTTTTTGTCTATCTGCTTCATGTGTTATTCATGTAAATCATTGCTGCAGTACCTATAAATCTGTTAAATTAACTTATTCTGGAATTATATGAATGTCTAATGAATGATATAGTGGAAGAACTGCTATACCCGTGACAATGGAATCGAGATTCAGGAGTTTCTTTGTTGACAAATAAGAGGCCTCATATAACTACTAGCCGGCCAACACTATTGTTTCTATTCTCCTCTACAATGAAATAGAACAAGTCCTAAATTTGGCATCATGACCTCAAGTACCAGAATTTGGCACCCATTTATACCAAGTCCCAAATTTATGAAAAAAATTTGGCATAACCTCCCCTACATTCATGGACATTCATAACAAGCGGGTTATAAGAACTTCGATCACAAAACATTCATACACATAATATCACATTTAACCCCCCCCCCCTCCCCCAAAGAACTTGAAAACATACATAGGCACATAGCTTCACATACAACACAGGTTACATATATCCATAACCTACAGCCTCCCAAGTACACATCACATGTTACATATATACCCATAGGCCAAAAACCTCGTAACGTACTCCTTGGCTTGAGCCCACAAAATGCAAAGTGATTGAGTGCACCTTCAAACATATTTTGGTCCAAATCACCAAAACCTGAAATAAAATCAACACTTGTAAGGTTCGAATTACAAAGTAGTCCAATATAGCAGCCTGGCTAGAAGCAACCATTGTTAAGTTGAACACGGAATCTAAGATTGCTTTCCTGAAGAGCTCTATCAGGATAGTGATATGTAAAATGCAGATTTTAATTGTTGTTTTTGTTTTAAGTGGAAGGTAGCATTGGGCCGAAATAGTTTTTTTTAGACATAGTGCTAGATATACAAAAGGATATAACACCCATAGAGCATGAGACAAAACAGCATATGTGTGTTCCCATAAAACTCATGTTATAACATGGCATTTCATAGATATCAGATTTTGACGAATATAACTTTGCCAATGGATAGTTTGCATCACAACATCTTTGATTTCTTGCAAAATAAACTTACTAACTTTCAGTCCTCTGTTGGAGGCATGTCACGCGGGCCTTCGACCGAAGCTGCCGAAACCACTATACCGACGAAGCACCGGTCAACGACCAAGGCGTTCACCTAGGGCGAAGCCAGGACGGTTCGCCATCATGCCTAAGGGACTCGCCGTGAAGTCTTCGCTTAGGATGAAGCTATAGGGCGAAGCAGGAGGGATTCGCCAGGTGGTTGGACATCTTCGCCAATAGGCCCAAAGGGCCACACGGCCCAAAAATGCCATTCGACATAATTGGGTCAACTTGGAGGCCCACTTAGGGGGCCCCGAGCCAAATGGGCACTATTTACCCTCATAAATGTCCCATCTTAAGAGTATCCGGCCACGTAAATTCCCCTGTACATATATTAACTCTAGGGTGCATGAGCTTGTACTAAGACTATAAATAGCCCCCTAGGGGTATGTAATAGGGGGATCCCAAGAAAAATTCCATTATTCAATAAATTACTTTACTATTCCACTCTTCTACTGTGTGAACCACGTCCTTCGACGTGAGCAGTTGTCTTTCGACAACACTCTCTAATTTGAAATCTTTTGAGTTGTAAATATATATGATATATAGAACTACAATCCATATATCGCTTCAAGTATGTGAAATCTAATTTGAAATCCTGTGTGTTTTAGCTTGAAGTGTGACTATACAGAAACGTCCTTGTGATCCAATTGTGCTGTGGATTTAGGATAAGTTCATTGTGTCGACATTTGAGATTACGACTACGGTATTTTGCATAGTATGGGGATTGTTGGTGCTAGGGTATATGTGAGATTGAAGTAAGAGAGATGGAGACAAATATTTTTGTACAGGTTCGGACCCCTTATCTGACAGGTAATAGCCCTACTCCTGTTGGCTGAAACCGGTGTTGCTCTTATTAATCATAATCACTTCAATACAATATTTGGGATAACCTATCTAACCGTTGTCGAGTTGGCGGCCTAGAATACCATACCATCACTTAGTCGACAATAGGGTAGTCTTCCTCCTTGAATCCATACTCGACGGGACCAGAGATAGCGCTAGATTCCTCTTGTCGGCCTCCGCAGGCACCGGATTAAGTCTATCTAGGCATATATCTGATGTCGATATCCGGTGGCATGTCTTGGCGCGTGTTAGCTTGTATTGGTTTGTGTCTATCTTGATTGTTCATGTGTCCCCCCCTCCTAGGGGGTCTTGTATTTATACACATAGATGTCCCCTTGTCCAAGTAG